ATTTTAATGATCCAAAGATTCCTCAGCCCTTATTTCTGCTAGTTGGAAAGTAATGTTGGTACTGAAACTTTTGGAGATGTCCCATGTATACCACACCTCACACTCTCAAAAAAGGCAGCGTATTACTTTCTTTCACATGACAGTATATAAGGGGTTACTTATTTTTCAAAAGAAAAGTGAATTTCCTAAGAATTAGAAAATTTCTGAAATCTAAATTCTAAGAATTATTTTTCTGAAATATTACTTTTAGATAATTATGCATTTACTGCATTCCTTTGTATAGTGAGCTATCACAAAAGATTACACTTCAAGGGTGTCCTGTACCTAGAAAGCTGGCAGCTCCCTGCAACATGCAGATGTGAGGAAGATTTCTCCTCTCGGCCCTCATAAAAGGAACGCTGAATTTGACAGACAGTGTTTTCAGCAGTGTTCCTGTCATAAACACAGAAGCATTTCTGGACTGAGCTTAACGCTTCTCTTCATGTAAGCTGAAGACCTAACTCAAAGCCAGTTCGTTGAAAACAACTTTGTGGAAGGTCAGAGAAGTGCACTCTGCGGGTACGCAGGCCATTATGAGAGTCCAGCTTGACCCAAGAGTCGAATTCAGATGTTGAGAAGTCTAGGAGAGTTATCCTTTCGCAGTCCTCCATGAGTTTATTCCTTAGATCGAGCCTTCGATTCAAACGGGCAGCATGTGGAGTGTGTGCAGGGCGTGTCCATACATGGTGACTGAAGTAATGCTGGTGGTTCTGTACAAACGCTGAAGAATCTAATAAGGGCTCACGCCTGAGGAGGCAGCTTCTGCCCTACCTGCCTATCCCCCCACCCCCCTACTTGCTTCTACTGATGCTGGAGGGACTGGACCTGCCTGTGTACACCAGGCCTTCCTGCCTCCGGGGAGCCTGGGAAGCCCCAGTGTGCTGTTCCACGTCCCCCTGCACTGCTTCCCCTCCCCCTCTCAAATGTAGCGCAGAGTTATATCTTCATCCGGAGATCAGATACTGTTTTTTAAATTATTATTTTAATTCCAGGTAGTTACTGTACGGTGTAATATTAGTTTCGGGTATACGATGTAGTGACTCAACACTTCCATACATCACCTGGTGCTCATCATGCTAAATACATTCCCCTCTAGTAACCATCAGTGTGATCTCTAGTGCAGAGGGTGTTTCTTTTCTTCCCTCTTTGCTCATTTGTTCCTTAAATTCCACATCTGAGTCAAATCATATGATAATTGTCTTTGACTGACTTTGCTCAGCATTATACCCTCCAGCTCCATCCGTGTCGTTGCAAATGGCAAGATTTCATTCTTTTTATGGCTGAGTAATATTCCACCATGTATATACCACATCTTCTTTACCCATTCTTCAGTCTGTAGACACTTAGGCTGCTCCCATATCTTGGCTACTGTAGATAATGCTGCTGTAAACATCGGGGTGTGTGTAACCCTTTGAATTATATTTTTATATTTTATATTTTTAATTTTTTGAGGAACCTCCATACTGTTTTCCGGAATGGTTGCACCAGTTTGCATTCCCATCAACAGTTCCTCTTTCTCCACATCCTCGCCAACACCTGTTGTTTCTTGTGTTACTGATTTTAGCCATTCTGACAGGTGTGAGGTGGTATCTCATCGTGGTTTTGATTTGGATTTCCCTGATGCCAAGTGATGTTGAGCGTCTTTTCATGTGTCTGTTGGCCATCTGGATGCTTCTTTGGAGAAGTGTCTGTTCATGTCTTCTGCCCCTTTTTTAATTTGCTATTTGTTTTTTGGGTGTTGAGTTGTATCAGTTCTTTGTATATTTTGGATACTAACCCTTTATCGGATATGTTATTTGTAAATATGTTTTCCCATTTCGTAGTTTTCTTTTAGTTTTGTTGGTTGTTTCCTTTTTCCACAGAAGCTTTTTATTTTGATGAGGTTCCAGTCGTTTATTTTTGCTTTTGTTTCCCTTGCCTCAGGAGACATATCTAGAAAGAAGTTACTATGGCTGATGTCAGAGACATCACTGCCTGTGTTCTCTTCTAGGAGTTTTATGGTTTCACGTCTCACATTTAGGTCTTTCATCCATTTTGAGTCTATTTTTGTGTATGGTGTAAGAAAGTGGTCCAGGTTTCCCAACACCATTTACTGAAGAGACTATCTTTTCCCCATTGGATGTTCTTTTCTGCTTTGTCGAGGATTAGTTGACCAGAGTTGTGGGTTCATCTCTGGGTTTTCTGTTCTGTTCCATCGATCCGTGTGTCCGTTTCTGTGCCAGCACCACGCTGTCTTGATGATCACAGCTCTGTAATATTACATGAAGTCCAGAATCGTGACACCTCCAGCTCTGCTTTTCCAAGATTGCTTTCACTCTTCGGGGTCTTTGTGGTTCCAAACAAATTTTAGGATTGTTTGTTCCAGCTCTGTGAAAAGTGCTGTTGGTATTTTGATAGGGATTGCATTAAATCCCTAGATTGCTTTGGGTAGTATAGACATTTTAACAATATTTGTTCTCCCAATCCATGAGCATGGAATGTCTCCATTTTTTTGTGTCATCTTCAGTTTCTTATATGAGTGTCTTATAGTTTTCAGAGTACAGGTCTTTCAGCTCTTTGAGTAGGTTTATGCCTGGGTGTTTTATTGTTTTTGGTGCAATTATAAATGGGATTGTTTTCTTAATTTTTCTTTCTGCTGCTTCATTATTAGTATAGAAATGCAACAGATTTCTGTACCTCAATTTTGTATCCTGTGATATTACTGAATTTATTTATCAGTTCCAGCAGTTTTTTGGTGGAGTCTTTTGGGGGTTTCTACATAAAGTGTCATGTGATCTGCAAATAGAGATGTTTGCTGCTTCTTGCCAATTTGGATTCCTTTTCTCTTTCTGTTGTCTGATTGCTGTGGGCTGGACTTCCAGTACTGTGTCGAATAAAAGTAGTGAGAGTGGACATCCCTGTCTTGTTCCTGACCACAGAGGAAAAAGCTCTCTGTTTTTCCCCATTTAGGATGATATTAGCTGTGGGTTTTTCATAGGTGGCGTTTATTATATTGAGGTATGTTCCCTCTAAACCTACTTCGTTGAGGGTTTTTACCATGAACGGATGTTGGACTTTGTCAAATGCTTTTTCTGCCTCTACTGAAAGGATCATATGGTTTTTAGCCTTTCTCTTGTTGATGTGACGTATCACATTGATTGATCTGCAAATACTGAACCACCCTTGTATCCCAGGAATAAATCCCACTTGATTGTGGTGAATGTCTTTTTTAATGTACTGTTGGATTCAGTTTGCTCATATTTTGTTGAGAATTTTTGCATCCATGTTCATCAGGGATTTTGGCCTGTAGCTCTTTTTTTTGTGGTGTCTTTATCGGATCGCGATCATGCTGGCCTCACAGAATGAATTTGGAAACTTTCCTTCCTCCTGTATTTTTTTCATTTGCAGACTTGAACTTTAGAACTCAGAATTCCCAATTCCTGGTCCAGTGTTACTTCTTTTTAGACCTTTTTTGTGAAGTACCGTACACATAGAAGTGGAGACGTCATTAAATACAACTGCATGAGTTTCTATAAACAGAACCTCCAGGTGAAGGAAGAGAACATTTCCGGTTATATTCATGGGCCGGTGGTTACCAGGGCTGAGCCGAGGGGGCGGGAGGGCCAGTGACTGTGCGTCCAGCGTTTCGTTTGGGGAAGATGAAACAAGCTCTAGAGATGGACGGTTGCACAACACTGTGAATGTACACAGTGCTGCTAAACTGCACACTTAAAAATGGTTAAACTGATAAATTTTGTTAAGCAAATGTTACCACAATAAGAGAAGAGAGATCATCGCCAGAGCCTCAGAAGCTGTGCCCCTTCCCCCCAGCCCTTCCCCCCAGCCCACCCGCGCACCAGGGTTAACTGACTAAATTGAAACCTTATACATTATCAGGGACCATGCAGTCTGGCCACTAGTTTTCCACACTCAGGAGGGATAAAAGAGGAAAGCACCAAGCTTGTTTGCCCGAGGTCCCACAGAGTTTACCCATGACGACTTCCCAGGTGACTGTGAATTGAGTGGGACTGTAACTGTTTCTTGAATACGTGTTGGATGAACATTTGCGTTTTATCAAGTCACAGCAGATGCAGAGTTCATGAAGTTGTTAAATATGCACAGCCGGGAGGAAGAGATAGGACACTGCATGTCTGCTTGTGGCGCCCGGTGGTCTGGTCCAGCCCTTCGTATGCTTGGTGCCCGCCCTGCTGATGTGTGATACCTGACCTTGAGGTTTAATAGCCTGTTGACTCGCCTACTTTCTGTGTTTCTTCACCTGTTTCCTAAAGTGATATTTGTTACAAAGGAAGGACTGTACACAATGTATATGTACGTTATGAATCAGAATAATAAAGCAAAAACTCACAGACCTGCCATCTATCTATGTCATGATTTTAAGTCACTAAAATGTCATTACCTCGGTGGTGTAAGTGTATGCCTGTGTGTCGCTGGAATTCTGAGCGTACCCTCATGTCTGTCCTTTCTGGCATCTGTTGGTATATGAGCCAACAGGGAAGTGGCACCAAGGTCTGGATGGAGTTGTAGACAAGGGCTGAGAACACACTGAGCCCAGAAGGCGTGTGGCATTCTCTCCTGGTCAAGTTCACGGTTCTTCCCACCTTGCCCGCCAGCCTCACATCGAAACTAAGCACTGCCGACGTACTTGCCGTTTTTAATCGGCCAGAGGAAAAGTGTTTGTTCCCCTTTAGAAAGGTTGAGGTGGTGGTTTCTGTTCTTGCTGCAGCCACACACAGACCCTCCAGACTCCAGAAGATCAATCATTTGCCTGTAGCTTTCTGAATTTTGGAGTTCGCTTCTTAACCTTGTTTCTCAAAATTGAAATTTAAAGAAGTCTCACTACACTGGTCTGGGAGTCAATGATACTCATTTAGTCAAGCGGTCATTACTTTTCATGAAGAACCTGTTAGGTGGAAAAGTACCGATCTTTAAAGTCTCAGCGAAAACTGATTTTTCTCTCTTAGAATGGCACAAGACCCCCCCTGGGTGCAGACGTAAATTTGGAAGCCCTTGCCGCTGACCTGCGCTGTGATTGCTATTCGTGAGTACCTCAGTCTCAAGTCCGTAACCTCTCATGGGCAGAACAGGGGACAGGGGTCCCCTGGGGAGGGTTAAGCTCGGTATCCGGCTCTGTCCTGGCTCTTCCTTCTGAGAGAAGGTACTACCTGTTTCGAGGCTCTGAGGAGCTTTGGCGCTGGGCGCATCCGCTCCCACATTGACTCTGGGCACCCAGCTTCCCTGACCATTGTGGCTGCCTTCGCCAGTTGTCTGTCCCTTCTTCCAGAAGACGTGAGCAGACATTTCAGTGTTGGTGCTTCAGCCCTGAAGAGGGTCATCTGTGAGTGCTTCGTTTTCCGAGGCTCAGAATGCATTTTTCACAGCATACCCGCTAACCCGCACAGCCCATAGTGACAGCAGGAAATCCGGCATTTCTGCCTTCGGGACCACACCATGTTCATGCACTCGTGGTTTTTGTTATTTTCTTTACGTTAAGTAAAGTTGTTAACTGTCCCAATGTGGGTATATAGAGAAGAAAAGAAACTCACATTTCCCTTACGGGGAGACGTCTGCCCCTCTGGCTTTGAAAGCATTATTGGTTGGTTATCCTCAATATACTTGGTGCTCATGATATTCCTCTAGGTCAAAGCCAAATAATGTGTTTGCCAAAGCCAAGCAAGTACGACAGTGTTTTCTTTTTCTTTTTTTAAATATATTCATTTATTTCAACGAGAGAAAGATAGCGTGCAGGGGGGAGGGGCAGAGGGAGAGAGAATCTCAAGCAGACGCCACACTTAGCGCCAAACCTGACGCAGGGCTGGATCCCACGACCCTGAGATCATGACCTGAGTTCAAACCAAGAGTCAGACGCTCAACCGACTGAGCCCTCCCAGACAGATGTCCCCGAGACAATTTTTTCCTGTTCGAGGCCTTCGGGATGCGATTACTTCATAGCGTAAACCTACATCCCGACAGCAGACCTGCAGAGAGCAGTGTTGGCACCTCGTTACTTCCAGGTCTGGTTGAAGAAGCTCACTTCTTATCAAGATGATTGCACTGGAAACCACACAGATCATTCTCAGGGAGTGTGGTCAGGATGCATCGTTTTCTCTTTTCTTCGTATATGGGCATCTGGGCCCTGAGCCTCTTCTCTGTCGAGCTGTCTTGGCTCAGACGTGAAGGCAGGGATTGTCTCTATGACAGGACGCGCTCGGAGCCCCTCCCTCCCTCTAAGGAGAGTGCTTCCCACCCCCCTCCTTTGGGATCAAACTCGTACCACTAAATGAACTTACTATTGGGGGGGTGGGCGGGGAAGGCTTAAGTGAGTAGTTTATAGCTTTGAGAGCCAAAACCCACAGAGGCAGTTTAATGGCAGAACGTACCCCGGGGCCACATGTTCTGATTCTCCGGCGTAGGGCGCAGGTTTACACAGGGGTCAGGGTTAATGTTGAATGGCGTACAATTAGGGTTTTAATGCTGCGGTCACCAGGGTTTGAGAGACACGGAATTCCACCGTCGTCAGCTGCTTGTTTATGTTAGTTCAAGGTCTCTGCACCTGTGGGAGATGTTTAAATATTAAGGAAAGGGATGAATACACAGCATGTATGTGATTATTGCACAACCTTATAAACCTGACACCTAGCCACAGAAATATTGCATTCAGCTAATAATTTAAGTTCTGTGGCCATTTAATGTTACATATTATGTGGATGGTCAACGTTATACATTAAATAAGTTTTAATGTCTAGAAATGAGGTTTTTATGCCCAGATCCAAACTCTCTCCCAAAGAGCTGCAAGAATTCTGTTGACGTAAGGTCGCAAAAGGCCAGTGAACAGTGTTGCTCATTGAACTCCGGCACCGTGCTGAGTCAGCATAGTATTGCACAAAGTAATTAGATGGAGGCTTGTTAGCTGCTTTAATTCATTTATGACGGGTCCACTCAGCTCGGGCTTGAGTCAGGGCATTGAAGACTTGTTCGCCTTTGTGCTTCCCCCTTTTGAAGTAGGTGTCATTAGTGTCTCTTCTGTAAGCTTACTCGTGGCGGCATGGGCCTCGTGGATGGAGATTTTATGATAAATGTGGAAGTTTCTATCACCTGGGCAATTCAGGTAGACTTTTTATGTTAACTTTAGTATCTATAGCTGTTAGCACAGGAATGTTTGATTCCTTGCATTGTTTCCATCATAATTACCCTTCTTCTAAAAGCTAGAGGGGCACCTGGGTGGCTCAGTCGTTAAGCATCTGCCTTCGGCTCGGGTCGTGATCCCAGGGTCCTGGGATCGAGCCCCGCATCAGGCGGGCTCCCTGCTCCGAGGGGAGCCTGCTTCTCCCTCTCCCACTCCCCCTGCTTGTGTTCCCTCTCTTGCTGTCTGTCAAATAAATAAAATCTTAATAAATAAATAAATAAATAAAATATAAGCTAGAAATACTTTAAGTAAAAGCGAAACGCTCTTCCCTGCTGACTATAGCGGTCAGTCTCTTCCCTGGCTGTGTGGGTTGTGACTGGAAGCCGCAGCCGGACTCTTCCCACTGTCGTAGAATACTGAGAGCAGGTCTTCTCCCGCAGGGGTGCCGATCTCTCTGCGTTGGTTCGGGAGGCATCCGTCTGCGCCCTGAGAGAGGAAATGACAAGACCGAAGGACGGAGGTGAGACAGGTAGGGTGCTTTCTGCAGTGTCTTTGTTCTCCGTCATCATCACTCCGGACACCTCACTGCTGACGTGGCTGTGGCGAGACCGTTCCCATAGGCTCCGCCTCGCATGGTTTCCGTGCAGCGGTCTGGTGGCCTCTCAACCTCAGCCCCCCCCCGGAGTCCACACAGTGCATTTCCAAAACACGTCTGTTTTCATTCCCACTGTCTTTGGCTCCCAAGAATCTCAGAGCAAATTTGTTTATAGTTCTGGTGGCGTCTCTGCTGCTGAGATTTGTCTGCACACGTGCCTTCCTGATGAAGTCTCTGTGTGTTTGTTAGGTTCAGTATCCGAACTGCCTTTATTATAAGCTATTTCAGATTTCTCTTGGAGGATATAAGTGATGAATCACTAAATTCTACTCCTGAAACCAACAGTATACTATATATTAACTAATTAGTATTTAAAAATTTGGAGAGAAAAATAAAAGCACTGGACTTAGAATCGGGAAAAAAATAATAAAATACAAATTGCTATGGCATTCAGATTATATGAAAAAGAAAAGGGGATTTACCCATGGAGAGTTTTCTTATTCTGCATTAAAGTTAAGAATTAAAATAATAGGGGCACCTGGGTGGCTCAGTCGTTGAGTATCTGCCTTCGGCTCAGGTCATGATCTCAGGGTCCTGGGATCGAGCCCCGCATTGGGCTCCCTGCTCAGCGGGAAGCCTGCTTCTCCCTCTTCTACTCCCGCTGCTTCTGTTCCCTCTCTCGCTGTGTCTCTCTCTGTCAAATAAATAAATAAAATCTTAAAAAAAAATTAAAATAATAAAATAAATATTTAAAAAGTTTTTTTAAAACAAAATAAAAAAATCCTCTTGGAACTAGGTGATATAATTCACAAACTTAGAATATCTTGTAAGAAACATCGTGTAAGTGTGCTGCCCGGGAGCAGAGTCTTACGGTTTTTTGGGATTTGTCACCGAAAATTTGTGGGCCTCTCTACACGTATTGGCTGTTTGGATGTTAGTTTATAATCATGGAGCAAATTCTGACATCTGTGCTCTGCTGCAGTTTACGTTTCTAGTTACCTGTACTCTAGGGAATTAGTGTTGATCTCTTCCTCACCGAAATATGTATGCTCTTCACCTTCCACTCAACGTGTTCAACTACATTTTATTTTATTTTTAGGTAAATATGGTATCCTAATATCTGTATAGATCAGTTTTTTTTTTAAAGATTTTATTTATTTATTTGAGAGAGAGGGAGAGTCCAAGAGGAGGGAGGGTCAGAGGGAGAAGCAGACTCCCTGCTGAGCAGGGAGCCTGAAGTGGGACTTGATCCCGGGACTCTGGGATCATGACCTGAGCCGAAGGCAGACGCTTAACTGACTGAGCCACCCAGGCGCCCCGATAGTTCAGTTTTAATTGTTGTTGGGTAAGCTGTCATAGTAACATTTTAAACCAAGTCTTGTTCAAAATGTAGTTATTTGATTTACTTACATAATGGCACAACCTTATAAAGGAGAGCCCCTTCTGATCCAGTGTTGTGATATTATCTCTGTATCTAACATATATTATGATATAACTCTGTAACATCTGCTACTGCGTATGCACTCTTAAATAACTATGGAATATTACTTTCCACTCCCAGTTAAATTATTTGGGTTATCTTAAAAAGGAAAAATTCTGGCACTTCTTCATTGCCGTTAAGGCGTAAACAGTGCAAAGAGGGGCTTTCAAATGGTGTCTGTTTAGGAGTGATAGTCTCTTTGGGGTGTCCTGCATTAAAACCTGATAAGCAGAGGGTCAGGAAATGGGGAGATGTTGGTCAGAGGCTAAGACTTCCTGCTATAAGATGAACACATTCTGGGGATCAGATGTGTTGCATGATGACTATAATTAACAATATGGATGATATACTGGAAAGATGGTAAGAGAGTAGATCTTAGGGGCGCCTGGGGGGCTCAGTTCGTTAGGCAACTGCCTTCGGCTCGGGTCATGATCCTGGAGTCCCAGGATCGAGTCCTGCATCGGGCTCCCTGCTCAGCGGGGAGTCTGCTTCTCTCAAATAAATAAATAAAATCTTTAAAAAAAAAAAGTAGGTCTTAGAAGTTATTACCACACACACACATACATACACACACAAGTAATCATGTGAGGGATGGATGTGCCAGCTAACGTTTGTAGTGATCACTTTACAACACATGTCTGAGATCATCACAATAGTCCTACACCTTAAACTTACATATGTTATGTGTCAGTGATAGCTCAATAAGGGGGGGGGCGGGTAATGAAAACAGGGACTTTTTTTTTAAAGGATAATAGTCTCTCTCTAATTAAAGATGAACAAAGTATTTTTTTATATGATTTGTCCCAAAGTAAACTGTTTCAATGGCTGGAGGGAAAAAATTTACACTAAAATGGATGCTGATATAAAACTTAAGCATTTGTTTAAAATTAAATATGGTCAGGTGTGTGTAAATTAAATGAAAGTGAAAAAATGTCCAAAAACATCTGATGAGTGTACCGGGCTTGACTGTCATTCAGAAGAGACCCAGTGTGATGGCTATCTCCTCCGTGTTCCCTTGACTGCTGGGAAGTGTCTCAGGAGAAACTAGGCCTTTAGTCACGGTTAGCGCCCTCCATTCAGATGTGTTTGTGATTTGTTCCACAGGTGAACTCAAGGTCAGTCAGAAGCACTTTGAAGAAGCTTTCAAGAAAGTGAAATCTTCTATATCAAAAAAGGTAAGAAATGCTCTTAACATGTGTAGAGGAGACTGGAATGGAGACCAGTAGATTATGAACTCGTGGAAACCAGGAAAATACTTGTCTTTGTGGGAATGTTTTTTTTTTTCTAAAGATTTTATTTATTTATTTGAGAGAGAGAGAATGAGAGAGAGCATGAGAGGGAAGAGGGTCAGAGGGAGAAGCAGACTCCCTGCTGAGCAGGAAGCCCGGTGTGGGACTCGATCCCGGGACTCCAGGATCATGACCTGAGCCGAAGGCAGTCGCTTAACCAACTGAGCCACCCAGGCGCCCTGTGGGAGTGTTCTTGAGAGGTGGTAGTTTTGTGTGTTTCTTGAAACACTGAAGCCAGAGAGAGGATGACCCATGTGGGTCTTTCCACCGTCTGGGGATTTTTACCCGTTTGGTCCGCATGTCCCTTGACCTGCTCCACCCTTCCCAACAAGTCTTATCTGCCTGGATCCAGCCTTCCCTGTGGGACTCGCCCCTGCGTTTCAGGCAGGTACAGATGTCCTCACCGTAAGGTCAGAGAAGGACTAAACACATGGCTCGCTTTTCTTTTATACAATATGCCAGGTCTCGTGTGTTTGCTTCTTACGATAACGGAGGTAACCCGTTTGTGGTAATGAGGATGACTGCTGCAAGACGGAGCTGCGGGGATGCATCTAGCCCGCAGAAACAGTTGGCTTAGGCACCGCCATGATAAAGCTCATTGACTTGGCAGTCTTTTGTTTCAGGGCTCCTGGAAGTGTAATGTGCCTTAGCCACGAGAACCTGCTTCCTGCTGGGCTAAAACTTCCTTGAAATCATTAGCCATTTATTACCCTAGGCCTTGTATTTCTCACGATAATTACTGATTGAAAACCCCTGAGTCAGAGTCCAGGGAGTTACATGAGCCATGCTGCCGTGTTCGGTGTCTCAGGGTTTGCTCTGAACCTTCTAGGTGAGGTGACCACCATACCACCTTTTTTTTTTAAAGATTTTATTTTTAATTAATCTCTCCTCCCAGTGTGGGGCTCAAACTCACAACCCCGAAATCAAGAGTCGCACGTTGTACCGACTGAGCCAGCCGGGCTCCCTCCCACCTTACCACTGGTGACCACAGGATCCAGTTAATTAGTTTTGGCTGGTGGTGGTTCTGATTCGGCTAGAGAAGAGTCCGCTGTACCCACACTCAGTTCTCCACCATAGCTGGAAAGAGTGGTCTGCCTTCGCCTCTCGGGCATTTTTGTATCCCAGAGGAAACAGGTCTGTTCTGCTAAGCATCTTTGAATAAAACCCAGAACAGTTTGATAGTTAATGTTACTGGTGCTCTTCATTCTGATCAACAAGAGACTCGTGATGCTCCTGAAGATTTCGTCATCAAAAACGTTTTAGTTGAATTGTTCCTCGCCGCCGAGTCCCGGACTTGTCAGGACTTAGGACGCAGTGACGAAGCGCCTCCCCAAGGGGACATGGGCATGTGGGGACGCGGCCCCTCCTCTAGCCTCACTGTTTGGTAGAAATGTATCCACTCGGTAGCGCACACACACAGTTCTGTGATCTTCGACACACGTCGCCGGCACTGCCATCAGTGTCTAGAACATTCCATCCCTCCCAAAGTTCCTTGTGGCCCCTCAGTGGCCGCCGCTGACAGCACTGCCCATGACCATAGGTCTGACCCGTGTGTGGGCTGCATCCCCATGGAAACCTGCGGTGTGCACTCCCTAGTCTGGCTGCTCAGCTTGGTGGAGGGCTTCTGGGGTCCGTCCCTGTTGTGTGGGGTCCGTTTCTAGCTGAGCAGCTTTCCAGGATGAGAATATAGAATATAGCACACGGTTCCTTCTCCTTTCCTCTCTTGGGGGACACTCAGCGCTGCTGGGGTGTGTGTGGTTTCCTGAGTAAACGTGTGTGAGAGGGGACCGCGGGTCAGTGAGCAAGCACAGTCTTGCACTTCTCCTGGGCACACAGCCAGGGCGTGCGGCCGGGGCTCCAGACCCTTCCATGGGGAGCGGCCAAGTCCCCCAGTGTCAGGGTCCTTTCATGGGGGTGTCCAGCGGCGCGGGAACCAGTGCCCCATGTGCTCTCCGTGAGCATCTCCGAACGGTCGGACAGCCAGCACAGTTTCACGTGCTCGTGGGCCATTTGGAGTTCTATCCTGTCCTCATGGTTCGCTCCTAAACACGAGGCTTTTCTCTCCTTACTATAAACTTGCACAAATTCTTAGCTTATTCAGATGTGCGCGTGCAGAGGATATTCTGTTCAAATCTGCTCACCTTTCTGTCGTCTAACGCACCTTATGGAGAGTAGGAGCCTGGAATCCAGAAGGAGGCCGACTCGGCTCCTGCGTGTGTGGCTTGTGCATCCTGCCATGGAGGCCTGTGGTCCGTCTCAGATTAATGTTTTAGTTTGATGGGAGGGGAGGCGGGGGTCTTGTTCCGTGTTTCCATATGGCTACTCCTTGCTCTGACTCTGTTTGTCACAAAGACTTTCCTACGGAGTCACCACACCCTCTGTTTGAAAACCCGTTGTTCATCCATGTGTGGATCCATTCCTGTGCTTTATGTGTGTCTTCAGGCCACGGTATCTTTTGCCACTGTCTTGATGACTATAGATCTGTAAGTCTTGGGATCAGGTAGTATAAGTTCTCCAAATTTGTCCTTTTTATCCCCCCGTCAATTTTTAGAAATATTTTAGCTCCTTTTCATATCCATATAAAGTTTATAATCAGCTTATCGATTCCTACACGAGAAGCCTGCTAGGCCTAATTTGGAATGGGACTGAATCTAGATCAGCTGTGAGAGCAGAGCTTACGAATAGTTTTTCACTTCATGAACTTAGTGCTTCTGTCCACTTATTTATATTCATTTAATTTCTCTTATAAATGTATTCACTTTTTAATTCATTTCACTTCTTAGAGCCACCTGATTTACTCGGTAATGTGAGTTTTCATTGTAAATATGTTACCATCTTTCATCAAATTTATTCCCAAGTAATGTATACTTTTTTGTTATTTGTGGATTTTTTTACATCTTGTTTTCTAATTGTTGCTGATATACAGAAGTTCCGTTGGTTTTTATCTATTGACCTTGGATAGTTCATTTATCACTCTCTTACTTTCTTTACCTCCAAGATTTTCTAGAAACTTTGCTGTAATTTTGAAAAGTTCCCACATTTGCTGCCTGAGTGACTTTATTACAGAGGCTACAAATGTGTTGTGCAAAGTTCCGAAAATCACTTGACCTGATTTCTGAATTTAGCCATATTTTCATCCGAGCAGCCTGTCCTTAATTGTCCTTAACGACAATTAAGGATTAAGTCTTCACTTTATCTCCTTTGCACACTTTTGCAGGTGAATTTGACACCAATGTATATTATGTTTATTGGGGGTCTCGGGTCCTGCTTCTTTCTGTTTTCCTGGTCCTTCCCAGTTGAGAGCTGTGGTAAAGAACCTCTTCCTTCTGGTTGAAATTAGAGGCACAGGCAGGGTCGAAAGGTACAGCGCTTTTCTGGATATGAATCTGAGCAGCTCATTGATAAGCCACCTCATTCTGCTTTTAAAATGAGGGCTCTTTTAGTTGTAAATGACAGAACCCAGCTCCAACTCAGGTGAGCAGGGAAAAACAAGAGCTCCTGGGGATTCCAGGGTGGCTCAGTTGTTAAGCGTCTGCCTTCGGCTCAGGTCATGATCTCAGGGTCCTGGGATCGAGCCCCGCATTGGGCTCCCTGCTCGGTGGGGAGCCTGCTTCTCCCTCTCCCACTCCCCCTGCTCGTGCCTGTGAGCTCACGAGATCTCTCTCTCTCTCAAATAGAAAAATAAAATAAAATGATGTAACTTGAGTTTCAACAACAACAGAGTTTGTTGGTCCACGTAACAAGGATCTTAAAAGCACAGTTGGCTCTAGGCTGCAGAACCTCATTCCTTCGTATCCTGGGGGAAGGTGGGTGCCTGCAGGCCCAGACACCTCCCAGCTAGAGAGGTCCCCGCCAGCTCTGGTGGGAGAGAGTCTCACGGGAGCCTGGGGTCGGCCCAGCCCAGGTTAGGATCCCATGCCAGAACCAGTGTGGCCAGTTAGGAAATTAGATGCCCTGGCCAGGCTGGGCTGTGAGGGGCTATGGAGTTTTATAAAGGTCACGCTTCAGGGCGCCTGGGTGGCTCAGTTGTTAAGCATCTGCCTTCGGCTCAGGTCATGATCCCAGGGCCCTGGGATCGAGCCCTTCATTGGGCTCCTTGCTCAGTGGGAAGCCTGCTTCTCCCTCTCCCACTCCCCCTGCTTGTGTTCCCTCTCTCGCTGTGTCTCTCTCTGTCAAATAAATAAATAAAATCTAAAAAAAAAAAAAAAGGTCATGCTTCAAGGCCTAGAATGAAAATCTGCAAATAAGATGCTGGTGACTCAAGTTAACTGACGTGGTAGTGGCGGGGTTGGGGTTTGGAGTCTTCATGCTCAAAGAGAACCACTAGATTTTGTTTGGCGTGCAAGGAACACTTAGCACATTTTAGCCTCTCAGACCTACTTACAGAAATGGCGATTGCCTTGAAGTGAGTGAACACGGGATTCATGATGAGGAGACGTCTAAGAAGACAGACATTCTGTCCCGAGATCTGCAGAGCTGGTCTTCCTAGTTCTCAAATACTCAGCATGCTCTTAGTTTAGAGGCCAAATGCAGAGAAGTGTCACCTGGCCCAGTAAGCCCTCGGTAACTGGTTGAGCGTGAAGGTGTCGACAGGGAGCCGACACTCCTCTCCGTCTGTCCTTCCTCACTGGCTCTGCCTTGGGCAGGGCCGGGCCCTTAGGCTCCACCTGGAGGCCCCTGCCCGTCCTAATTGCTAGTGAGTGGCCACGTCCTGTGTGGTGCCAGGAGGACCTGACAGGCTGGCGATCTGCGAGGACAGATGCCCAACACAAAAGCCTGGGCCGTCCGCCAGCAGCTTCTCAGAATCCGGAGACGTGTGTCCCGGCCGCGCCACCTTTCCCGGCCTCCCGGCCACGCCTGGCTTCACAGGCCGCGTGGGATAATTGCCCCTGAGGTGTTCCCTGCGCGCCGGAGACCCGAGGCCAGCTTCACTGCTGTCCGCGTTGAGACCTTGAGATTCTTCTCCCAGATGCTTACTGTCTCACATCTCAGGCTTTTCACTCTGCTTCCTGTGGCTGTCTCCCACCGTCAGGAAGGAAACCTCACTCAGACAGTCGGATTTCTTTCTCTACTTCCTCTATTAAACCACCCAGAGCAACCCTCCTGCTTCTGTGCTCATCACACCCGCTGCCCACACCCCTTCCATTCTCTTCTCCACACTCAGGAGTAGATGGTTCGTTTCCCGGACTGTTTCCACCCCACGGACACTCACAGGAGAACAGCCCCTCCAGTCAGAGCCTCCTGCCCCCAGCTGTGTTTTAACGGGTTACCTACCACCCAACTCCTCATGCATCGAGTACCTGCTGCACGCGTGCCAGGCCCTGTGCTGGACTCACAGACAGAAAAACCGCCAGAGACAGGGCTCCCACACATAGAACACGTGTTAACCTGGTCACTCAATCCCGTTGGTGTTAGGAAGACGCTTACACGTAGCTTTTGCTTGAACGGGACCAACTACATGGCAAAGGCCGTGTGACTGATTTTATTAAAAACATATCTGCACCTGCCACACGTTGTGGAAGGCTGCACGGATGTCCTCGTGAGACTTAGTACTAGCACATTCTTCATATTTTTGGTGATCGTAATGTTTAAATATTTGATTTCTGAAAAACTTAGTAAGAAGCTACAACTTCTCTTTTGGAAATAGGCATAGTATGAATTTTGAGTAAATATTCAGTAAAGCAGATGACCAAGCTGATTATTAGTTTGATCTTTTTAAAAATAAGCCATCACATCAAGGTGAAGCTCCACGTTCCTCGTTTGGCTCCCTAACTGGCCCTCATGAAGCAATTACTTACGAAACTAGTGACAGCTGCTTGTGGGGAGACACCGGCTGCCGGGGTGGGGGGGCAGTTTATCCTCTTTGAACTTTGCACCATATGAAGGTCCTACCTGTTCAGAAACATTAAATATCGAGGGGCGTGTGGCTGGCTCAGTCAGTGGGGTGTGCGACTCTTGATCTCGGGGCTGTGAGTTCGAGCCCCACGTTGGGTGTAGAGATTACTTAAATAAAAAATTAAAAAAAAAAAAAACATTGAAAAAATAGTAATTTAAAAGTTCCGGAAGACCAAAATAGTAATAATAGTTATCTCTGGAAATGATTTTTTTCCTGCTGATCTGTATTTTCTAATATTTTTGCAATAAATTTTGTTTTATAATTAAAAAGTTATTTTACTCTAAAAAAGGAATTGCTCTAACCTGGTTATAAACTAAGCATGCCTAAAATGTCTTTACAGTAGATTATTCTGCAGTGATACTGATATACAGAGGGACCCTTTTATCCTATTTCAGAGTTAATTCAGCATTTCGCTAGTTCCTACTTTATGTTCACCTTTGAAACTGTTTGACAGGTACTTGGAAAATCACTGAAACAAGTACATAGTTGTTTTTTTTTTTTTAATTTTCAAATCCATCTTTCAAACCGGAGGTGAACATTAAGTACAGTCCAGGAAATGGGTTTCCCTCGTGAACGGAAAATCTGCCCTGCCCTCTGGTCAGGGTTCTGACTTGTCGCAGAAAGAACATCCGCTCTGCTTCTGTCTGACTCAGGATTGTCCTCAGAGTAAAAGCTAGTGGTTATAAAGTCCCCTGTGAACACTGGGCAGACCTCACACGTGCGGAGGGGCCCACTGTGGCCGCTTCTGGGAGCGAAGCTGCATTTCCGTGAATGTCTCCGCAGCTGCCAGACGTCGGGGATGGTGGCTGTTCTCTGGCATGCGTTCCCAGGCTGGTCGGCAGACACCTCAGTGCTAAGGCCGTTGGTTGCTGTTAGGAATCATTTAAATGGCTCTACTCTGTGGTCTTTTGATTTTTGCTTATTTTGTGTTGGGGACCAAACAGGGCAACCAAAAGTTCCTGTGGAAAACCAAGCAAACTGTAGCAGCAGGAAAACAGAAACACCAAGCTGGGGGTGGGGGTGGCTAAAAACACGATCTGTTTTCCCAAAAGCCTCAATAATTAAAACATTGTGATAGGGGTACATGAACTGACCCTAATGCGTAACTTTTATAAACAGTCCATCATGCTGGTCCCCACGCCGGTGACAGAAAGATGGGGATTGATGTGGGGCAGCTGGGAGTCGGGCTCACATGCTGCACGGCAGGCTGGGCACTCGCCAGAGCAGGTGGAGCTCCATGTGGAAGGACGGGAGGCTGGCCATCCCTCATCGCGGGGTGGGCCAGGCTGGTTTCTCCCGAGGCCATGTGTCCACTCCCCGTGTCCTCACCCGGCCCCCCGGCCTGTCTGTTCTTCATCCGTCTTCCCACAGACACGCGGTCCTGTGTCCTGGGGGCTTCGTTATAACTTCATTGCCTCCCTGAAGACCTGACCTCCAGTCACTGCGCGGTCCCGGGGGTGGGATGTCAGCGTGAGCATTTGGGGGATGCGGGTCAGCCCTCGTCACACTCATCGGCTCTGTTTCTGTCTTGTCCCCTGTTCTCAGGACCAGGTGATGTATGAAGCTCTGCAGCGGTCCCTCAGCCGGTGACCCCGGCCGCAGCAGGCCCCGGAGCAGGCCAGTGCGCCCAGCTTGCCGAGAAGCCCGCACGCTCTGAGCTGCCCGCTTGCCACCTGCTGCGGATGGGGTCCTGTGTGCGCATGTTATTCCCAGGGTGACGTGGCCGGTTGGAGCCACACTCTCCCCGTCTGGCCAGCTGGGTGCGGGAACACCCTCCCCGCTTTTTAAGAACAAGAAAGATGTTTAACTGCTCAAGTAAAATAACCGATAACTTTTTTTAAATAAAATGTTTATTTTGAAACCGTCTCGAGTGTACTTGGGAAGAGTTGCGATCACAGTAAAAAGAACTTTTCCCCTAAGCCATTTGAGCGTGCGTTGCCAGCCCGAGGCCCCGTCCCCCCCAAATACCGCGATGTACGTCTCCTGCGCCCCAGGATCCCCCGATAGCCAGCCGTCACACTCAGGAAACCAGCCATGAGGCATGGCCATCGTGTGGGCCCCCAGCCCCTGCCAGGCCCCTCTCTCCAGCTGCCCCAGGTCGTTCTTCGTGACAGATGGGCCAGGAGTGAGCTGTCTGTTCCTCCTCCGCTCGAGTTCCCTTGAGGTCGGAGCACTTCCCGTCTCCTGACTTCTGATGCTCTGGAAGGTTCCGGCCCAGTTACTTTGTAGAACGCCCTCAGTGGTTTGTCAGCGGCATCCTTGTGGTTCCACCCTGGTCACGCAGCCGTGGCAGGAGTTTCACAAAGGGGCGCCATGTTCTCGCTGCATCCTGTCCTGTGGCGCCGTCGGGATTTGTCCCTCTCTGACGCGGGCCCTGTGATCCCGTGGGAGGGTGGTCCTGCCGGGCCGCGCACGCGGCTCCTCCGTCGAGGGAGGTGCTGGGAACCACGAGCGAATCCCTTTGGCACAGCTAGCTGCTCGAGTGTTTGCGTGGGCGACTCAGGCTGCCTAGGTCTGGCCCGTTGGGGCCCCTCCCGCACCTGCGCGCCTTCGAGAAGCCCCCGCCGCGTCCTCAAGGGCTGTGTCCTTGTTCACTGTCCTCGCTCCTCGGTGCTGCTCGCGGCAGGCGCGATGTGACGCAGCAGACACGGGGCGCTTTTCCTTCCACTCCCTGCGCCACCTCACGCTCCGGAAATGTTTGTGCTACTTCAAAGAGTAATCGATGGGGGCGCCTGGGTGGCTCCATCGGCTGAGCGTCTGACTCCTGGTTTCGGCTCAGGTCGTGATCCTGGGGTCGAGAGCAAGCCCCGAGCAAGCCCCATGTCGGGCTCCCTGCTCAGCGGCCGGGTGCCTGCTTCTCCCTCTCCGTCTCCGTCTCCCCACCCCCGCTCACTCTCTCTCTTAAATAAATAAAACTTAAAAAAACATGGCAAAAGTCCAAGAGTGTTGAAATCCCAACAGAGGTTGTCAGCTTCTCTTCCCTCCGCCCCAACACCTGCTCTTCCTCCTGCCGCCCCCGGTCTCCCCCGCTCAGACCCTGAAGACATCTTCAGTCTGAACGCAGTCAGGCCTTTGTTAACCATGTTTCTGCAAGCTTCCCTTCCCTTGTCCTCATGGGCACCGCCTCGTGCTGCCATTACCTTCCCTCTTTTACTGCCGTCTGCCGCTGGGCCTCCTGTTCCAATCTCGCAGGCACTGAAACCAGGGGTGCCCTCCCAAAATACTCAAAAATGACGCTGAGACAGAGCAGGGACTGGACTCAGGTCCCTCAACCCTGACAGCGAGATCCAGTCCCCATGAGGAAGAGCAAAGGGCTAGGACTCTGGGCCGGGGGAGGACGCAGCCGGCAGGGACCGGACCCAACCAGTCTGCACCGCCATGGACCCCAGCGCTGACCTCTTGCTGGCTTTTTCCCTCATCGTGCTAAATATTGAACATGTTAACAGACCTGCCATGCATGAAGAAGCGTGACCTTTGGGTGTGCAGGTGCTAATAAATCCCACCTGCACATGCTTAGTTGTCACTGCTTTGCCCCTGACCTCTCCCCGGGGCCTTGGCCCGAGGCCACTTTCCTTTGTGCGTCTCCCCTCTAGCTGGAGCATAACCCAAGCAAAGCCTCACCGGGAACTCCGTCAGCTTCTCATCGGTTCCACTTGGTTTCGGTTGCAGCGTCACTTCTCAGCCCAAACTCAGTAGTCTAATTATACACGGACCTCCGGTGATGGGACATCAGCCCACCCTCAGCACCTGTCCCCCCTCCCCCAACTGACGTGTACTATCATTCCAGGGAAGCTCATTGTTCTCTGAGCCTTGGCTGGGGAGGCCCCCACCCCCTGGAATGCCTCCTGGGTACCGTCCCACCCAGCACAGGGCCTGAAATACCACTTCCCCAGAAGCTTTGCCTAATCCCTCTCTCCACTTGTGCGTGGGCTGAGTTTTGTGCTGACCTGGCCAGTGGCGCCCATGTCGGATCAGCTCCAGGTGCGAGACCCACATTCTCCACGCAGCGTCCTGACCCCTCCCTGCATCTGTGGCACTTGACTCGAAATAAGAACAAAGTAACTGTTGAGTTGCATAGCTGAATCACTTCCCAAAAGGAAGCAGCATTAACGTTGGGGAGATCTGATGTTTCCACCCGAGGTGTCCCGAAGAGGAGCCCACGGGACTCTGGGGGCACATCGTCTGGTGCTGAGTTATTGCGGCTCAGAAGGGCTCCCCAAACACTTGTCCCCGGCCGAGCAGAACCTTGGGTGTGCTCAAGGGTCTCAGAACAAACTGTTGGTGAGAGTTGGGCCTGCATGAGCATTCTGTAAAACAGAAGGCTTTAAAAATACATGATATATGTATGTTTTATACCAAAATTCTAATTACCTTGTTTTGTGCAGACAGGAGCACCTGCTCTCCTACCCTGGCTGGCCGTGAGTGAGCCTGGTCAGTGGACAGTGGGTCTTCTTTTGAGACTCCAGGAAGTTTTGCTGGCTTGAACTTTCTCAGAATTAATAGTGTGGAAGGCAAAATGAGCTTCACAGTCACCAGGGGCTTGAGAAGTGCAGATACCGAATGAAGGAAACAGCTGTGGCACACAGGGAAATCGTGTTTCAAGGTAAAAGGCCAAGTCTGAAAAGGGGATCAGCAAGCACTTTTGGGCACCTGTTTCGTGTCTGCTGGTTTTCAGTTGCCTCCTTGATTTTTCCCAGCTCACGAGGAACTTACAGTCAGATTTTCCAGCCCTCAGTTGCCACACTCAGTTTGTAGTCCAGCTTAGATTCACTTATTAAAAATGAAATTAGGGCGTCTGGGTGGCTCAGTCGGTTAAACCTCCGCCTTCGGCTCAGGTCATGACCCCAGGGTCTTGGGATCAAGTCCCAAGTCAGGCTCCCTGCTCAGCGGGAAGCCTGCTTCCCCCTCTCCCTCTGCTGCTCCCCCTGCTTGTGCTCTCTCGCTTGTTCTCTCAAATAAAAAAATAAAAATGAAATTATTTGTTTCCACTTTCATCCTACACCTTGCAGGGCACAGGTTTGGAGCACCTGTGCTTTACCACAAAATGTCACGGCTGTGCCCGGTGGTGTGGGATGGGGATGACGAAGGTGAACTATACACGTTATCTCACTAATGCATCAAAACTGAGGAATATAGGGTGCCTGGGTGGCTCAGTTGGTTGAGCGACTGCCTTCGGCTCAGGTCATGATCCTGGAGTCCTCGGATCGAGTCCCGCATCGGGCTCCCTGCTCAGCAGGGAGTCTGCCTCTCCCTCTGACCTTTTTCCCTCTCATGCGCTCTCTTACCATTCTCTCTCTCCCAATAAATAAATAAAAATCTTAAAAAAAAACAAAACTGAGGAATATAGTATCTTCTTTTATATTTGAGAAAACGGGGGCTCAGAGAGGTTCAGGAACTTGCCCTTGGTCACACAGCTAACAAGTGGCGTCTGGGGATTCAAACTGAAGATGGGCTTAATTTGAAAGCCTGTGTCGTCCTACATCTTACTGCCTTTGTCAGGAAGGGGAGTTCTGTGCCATGTCTCCTGGGGGGCTGTAACACCTTCTGCCTTCATGAACTAGTGTGACTTGTAACAATAGTATTCTTTTTAAAATAATGGATAACAGGGGCACCTGGGTGGTTCGTTCCGTTAAGAATCTGCCTTTGACTCAGGTTGTAATCCTGGAGTTCCTGTGGGAGCCCCATGTCGGGCTCCCTCCTCAGTGCAGAGTCTGCTTCTCCCCTTTCCTCTGACCCCCCCACTCATGCTCTCTCTCTCTCAAATCTTTAAAAAAAAAAAATAATGTATAACATGTCTTTGAATTCAAGCAGCTAGTATCCGAAGCCTCAGGCAGTAAGCTCTGAGGTTGTGCAGAACCGTCAAGTGTTTAAATGGCTGTCGGGTCTTTCTGAGGAGCTCATTGTCAGTCGAGCTCTTAGGGCAACACGGAACCGCAAAGGTGAACACGGGAACCGTGAGGATATAGTTGAATGTGTGATTTACCCGCTTATCATAGAAACTGTCAAATATTTATATAAAGGAACAGCACTTGGATAACCATGTACAAGTTGCTGTTTTTGTAGGTCACCCAGTCCAAACAGAAGGGCTCCCCGAGTGTCCTGCACCTGGCCTCTCCGCCCATCAGCTCGAGGCCAGCCTCCCTCCACCTGTCCGCCCCTGCGGCTCCCCACCCTGGATTACTGCGAAGCAAACGGGAGACAATGTGTCATTTAATCTGTATGTGTGTTAAGTGATTTTTAAATGGAGAGGGAGGAGGGAAGAAGCAGGAACTCTGTTGTTCAGCCTCTGCAGTGAGATCGGAGGAGTCGGGCGAGTGGTAACTCCAGGGACGGAGAAGAAGGCGCCCTCCCTCCACAGCAGCTTGGAAGCCGGCTTGTGTTTTCCAGGCTCTGGAGGACAGTGGCCGTGTCCCCATGAGGCCGCCCCCCCCCCGGGGTCTGAGCGCATCCGGCACCACCGCCCTGTGGATTTCATCTTGGAAAATATTACCGCAGTTTCCTGGGTTGTGATGCCACAAAAGGCCTTTGAATCATCCGTCAGTGTTGCTCAACTCTGGGTTACACAAGGATCATCCAGGGCTTTTCAAAAACATACCACCTGGGCCGCCACCGCGGATGGGTTGGAGGAGAGTCCGCAGGCGGGGCGCGGGGAAGCCCGCTCACGCACTCTCCCAGGCGATCCTGATGCCTCCCCCCACCCAGGACCCCTAGAGCTCCACCCTCGCAGTTTAAGGGTGGGGAGCCCTGGGAAGGGATTGTGCCGGACACACGCTAGTGCCCGGGGTGGAAACGCATAGCCAGCGTGTTTTCCTGCGACCACAGAGGCTCGCCGGCCTTGAGATGGGGAGGTGACGCTCCTGCCG